AACAGATGGTTACACAAATAAATACAAGTTACAGCTCCCCATCTATTATAACCACTTTTAATAAAATTTAGTTGCATTTTTAATGCTCAGATAATACTTTAGTGGTTAACGTCGAGAGTAAGGTCATAAAGTTTAAAAGTTTGATATTTGTCTTCTACTAAAATAAATCTAAAAGCAAACCTGACCAAAGAATTCAGAAAAATATAGGGCACCACTCAATACAGCATTGACTTTTGAAGCGCTTAACATTTTCAGAGAATCATATATGGGTCACTAACCACACAGAGCTTATGAAGAGGAACACGGGGAACAATGAGGCTTTGAAGGGAAAAATGGAAGGATCTTTCAATACAGCTCTGACAATTGGCCCGTCTGCTGCAAAGAGCTAACATTTCACAATAATAAATTTGACAGCAATCCCCTAATGATAAAGTCCTAACTGATTTCATGAAGATGGGTTCTGTAAGCCTCTCCCACAACTGAGAAAAGTCAATAGGGACGCCTAACTGAGATACACAAGGTGAATTCAGAAGAGCAGCTGGACGGATGCACATATCCCGCTGCCTGTCTGCCATATGAAAACAAGCCCCAGTGCTTCCAGAGGCATTTCACTGTCAACACTGTATTTTCAGCGAGATCTCATTTAATAGAGGAACAAGCTGGGGGGGTCAATGTGTTACCACTGGACAACAGGCGAAGTCCACTGAACACACACTGGTCCAAACTGGGGCAAATCCCTTATATCCTCTTTTCATCTACTCAGACTCGAGATCATTAAGAAACAGTCACGTATGCTCTATAATCAAGCAAGCTTGGGAGGGATCTTGGGCCAGATGCAACATAGCTGATAGGAAAGAGATGAAAATTGAGGACTTCTAGATGAGGTGACAAGGACAGCATCAGTGATGGCTTTTTATTATATAACGGTCACTATGAAAACTGCTTTCAAAATCATTTCTCAATCTCCACAACTACTCCCTAAGGGGCAGTATAATTAGCTCAGTTTTATAGGTGATTAAATTGAGCACACATGACATAAGATGTCCACAGTTGCACAGAGAGTAAATACAGAGATGAGATTCGTTGCAAGACTCAGGCTACAATGCCACTCTTGACCACTAAGTTGTCTTTGTTACATGTCCCCTGAGAGCAATGTCCTCAGAGAAATAAAGAACGGACCTGACCTACAATACTCCTACTCATTCTGTCTTATCTCTCCTAATGCAAAAGCGAAGCACTTTCAAAGCTGCAGAAAGTAACTGGTCTGTGGGTTAAGGTTTTCTGGCCTATTAGCCCTTCCTTCTTACAAACCCACCACTGTACTAATCATGCATTCAATTAATCTAATTCTGAATGAGCCTCATATCAAAAGTCAAGCCGTAACAGAAAAACAAGAGCAGCAGGAACAGAAAGCAAGAAGGAGGGGCTGGGGATTTAGCTCAGCGGCAAAGCGCCTGCCTGGCAAGTGCAAGGTCGTGAGTTCGGTTCCCGGTACCGGAGAAAAAAACCAAAAAAACCAAACAAAAATAAAGAAAGCAAGAAGGATCAGGCTAACTGGGAGGATGAGATGACTCGGGTTTTAGACGATGTCCTGTCATCCTCTATACATGTTTGCCCCTGGGCAGGGAGTTAAAAGCATGGATATAAACTGTTGACTGACCTAATCTAGGAATGGTCAAATCCACTCATGGTGAATAAGGGGCAGCTCTGCGGCTTTAACTGGACTTTGTATAAAGGACCACCCAGCAGAAAAACCACCTGGGTTTCAAAGAAGCAGCGTCAGGAAGAAAGCAGAGAAAGAGAAATCTACACTGATGAAGCCAAACTTACTTACCTCATCCAATGGGAAAGTGCTTAGCATGGCATCAAGCTAATACCTTCTCCTATTCCATCTAAATCCCATCCTATCTAAGTCTGGGGGTTCCTTCTTGAATGTGCACTGCAAAGAGGACTGGGGAGTAAAAAAAAAGCTCGCCTTGGGCTTCAGGAGATGGAGTAAGGTTTTGATCAGTCTTTGCTTACAAAGTTAGACTGAGGAAGGGGCTATAAGCCCTGGGAAATTTGAGCAATGATGACAGAAGACATAATTCAGCTTCCCAATGAATATTCCAATTGATTGTTGCTCTCTATCAGCAATGAATAGACATGAAAATATTAGCAGCCCAATTAGCATGCTCCATTACCAGGACTATAAAGAATCCAAATATGCCTAGAGATCTTTCCCTCCATGATCCTATTCCTTATTCTTTACCCCTTTCTATAGGCTGTTCTTTGTAGTATCTCTACATTACCGATTAAGGACATTTGACCTAGTGACATCATGGAAAGATTAAAAATGATGCTGTCCCATATAAAAATTAAAGCACACACAGAAAAAATAAAGCTCTGATATGTGCCACAGCATAGCTGAAATGTCAAAACCTGCTAAGTGAAATAAGCCAGACACAAAAGGCCAAACATGCTATAATGCCACTTGATAGAAGGTACCTAGAAGAGGTAAATTCATAGAGAAAGCTGACTACAGATTACTAGGAGCTCAGGGAAGGAGGAGAATGGGTAGCTATTATTTAATGACTGGAGAGGCATGGGATGAAGCAAAACTTCTGAAAATAGTGATGATTTCAAAACACTGAATGTACTTCATGCCACTGAGGTGTCAACTCTAAAGTGACTAAAACAGTCAATTTTCTGTTGTGTATTTTAAACACAACCTAAAAATCAAAACATACAGTATCTCTCTCACAATTACCAAAATAAAAAATAAAACACAGTCTGCAACAGAATTTCTCCTTGAAATATTTTAAGAACCAGTACTGTAGTGGCCAAGTGTGGTGGTTCACACCTGCAATTCCAGTGCTGGGAACCTGAGGTAGAAGAATCACAAGTTTGAGCCCAGCCTGAGCAACTTAGTGGCCTGGTATATGCCCATCCCCAAATATACATACACACACACATACATACATGCACACATACATACAAGTCAATTGTAAGTTGCACGAGGACAGGGACTAGATCTATTTTACCCACCACTGTTACACAGTAGACTTGCCATAAATGTTTGCTTGATAAATAAATGCCTAACATAAATAAATAAATAAATAAATAAATAAATAAATAAATAAATAAATACCTAAAAGAAAGTAGGGAAAGGGATCCCCAAGTTGGGAAATACGACATTTAAAAAGTACTGTACTATTCATGAGAAAGTATAATGGAGCATATTCCAAGGAAAAATACCAACATTACTATACCCAAGCTCTTCCTATTTTATCTGTCTTTCCTTCCCAGCTTACCTTACAATGTCTTACACGTAGTAGGCAGCTAATAAATTTTTGTACATCGAGGGGGAAGATATAGTTATAAAATCAATGTCATATTACTACTCTACTATCCCCTCTTTTAAAAATCACTTTCCTAAAGATATACAATTTCTTCTGGCAACGAATCAAAAAAAATAAACTTCACAGCTTACACACAGTGAAGGTAAAATATAAATAGCTAGAACATATCGCTCTCAGAAAAAGAAACTGCAGACATAAGGCACACTGTCTTCTATACAGGAAAAAAAAGTTTTCATTAAATAGCTTATAACTGTCTTTATTTTAGAAAGTAATAAATAATCAAAATAAAAGAAAATCCAAGGATTCAGTCCCAATAATCAATGTCCAACCTTTACAGTAAATAGTTGAGGGAATATGTAAGTACATTTAAGGTTGCCTTTTCTGGGAAACAAAAAAAAAATGTTTTTAACTTACTGTGAACCATAACACACTAACAATATTTCTCTTAATTCACCTATCAAGTAATCGAGTGTTCTTTTTAAAATTTATTTATGTCACAAAATTATATAGAATGGGCTTATGGCCAACATGTCATATACTGATGATACCGTCAACTAATATTCACTGCGTATAACATTTACATTTTACATGAATTACTAAGTGACTCAATATATATTAAAGTCTACATAAGTAGAATATTTTTTCAGCATAAAGCCAATTGCTGACATCCTTAACATTCACCACCTATACGAAAGGTGAATTCACATAAACTCATGAGGGCCATGTGAACAGTATTAACACGTCCTTCAATTCCAACCCCCACCACCCACTATCAAAAACTGTACACCAATTAACAAAGGAAACAGAAATTCAACCTCCGTGCATGTCAGAGTCTGCATCTCAGTCTCCTCATTTTTATCTTCTTTAGGAGCAGGTGAACATCCTTTGGAAGCAGCCTGTCTGCTGCCCTGCTCTTTCATGCAGGCAGGGGTTCAGCATTAGCATCCAAAATGCCAACGGTCCACTAGGAGAGGCAGCACTTCAAGCAGAACCGCATGAAGGATTATCACTTCCGTACATGAAAGCAGAACCACTACAGGTGTAATGATGCAAAATACCAGCACACTGACCTCTGCTCCACGGCACACACTTAAAGCAGGTGCACGTCTGTGCTCCAGGAGGGTGGGGGAAGAGAGGAAGTCCCAGATCCCTACTACATTAGAGATATTTATCTCTCTCAGATCCAATCCACCTAAATGTATGGAGACCAGTTTACCAAAAAAACAGTGATCTCCCGTCCTTTACTTGCTTTTCTTAGAGGGCACTGAGTCAAGCATAGCCAAGCAAAACAATCTTTAAGATCTCTCTAAGCTATAGTGAACAAGACTAATTGCAGGAGAAATGAGACTCAGACACGGCAAAGAAGCAGTCACTGAACCTTTTCCTCATCTTACCGCTGCTACTGATGTTTACAAACTACAGGCGATAGCCTCGGGAGCCTAGCAGACTCTCCTCTGAGTAACCTCCTCTCAGATCCCTGATTTAAACACCCCTTTATCAATCTGCGATGCTTTTGGCAGTTCAATGCAAGAGAGTGAGTAAAATGACATGCAGAAAGTGAAGCCTTTTCAAGTTGTAAATGAGTGAGTCAGGATTCTGACTTGCCGAGGTGCTCCAAATTAAAATCCTTGCTATAATTTTAAGTATGCTCCGTCTTACCGTTTTGCTGTTGTCTCTCTCAAGCTCAATTCACCTGGAACTCTTTAACATATCTCTAGCAATGCATTTGCATGAGGCCAGCCTCATACAGCAACTGAATTCACATCTTTCTGCACTAGCAAGCTGAAATGGTACGGCCGTACTACAACCAAGACAGGGGGAAGCATAAGCAAGAGAAAAAAAAAAAAAAAAAAGCCAGAAATCATCTCAGAGAAGCTGATCTCTGGGGATAAGGCCAAAAAATGGTTTCAAAAAGAGCAAAAAGGACATGCAAACATTCAGTATCAATAGCAGTAACGGTTCAATTTTTTCCCCAAAGAAATCTGATTTTTTTTTTTTTCTCTAAACACGATGGACTTGCCTGTGGAGTTCCCAGGAAGGCAGAGTAACCAGGCTCTGCAGCAGCATTGCAGCCAAAGTAACTGTGCATATGCTGTCCAGGCAATCCACAACACACTGTCTCTTCACAAAGATATTGATTTGCAATGCAGGGCTGCTTCAAAAGAATATAGAGCAGGAGCCAAACAGTTAATGGTGACTGCAGAGGAAAAGAAACATTTAATCAAGGGGATGCACTTCATTGTGCTTAATTTAATTTTTTAAAAGCACTGGAGAAAGCCAATAAGTGTCCTGAGTGACAACCCCATTAAACAATAATCTGAGGTCTCACAGAATGCCAAGTTTAGGCTACAGTCATTCATGCTGCAAAAGCTGGGGAGATGGTTTAATGTGTCTGTGTACATGCACTTGTCGTATGCAAATGGTGTATAATGAGAACTCTAAAATAACCATACACCAAATACATGAAGCTAAAAAAAAATGCACAGGTGAAGCACTGACAGAACCAAAGTGACAGAATGCAGAGTTTTGAACCTGCAGAAATTACTGAGGGAGCTCATGCCAAACTCAAAAATAAAACAGCAATCAATAAAACACAAACCAGATCTCACAATCTTTAGGGATATTGTGCCAAGTCATGCCACAAGGTGCTGGGTGGCAAAGAAAGTATGCCAAACAACCACTCTCTCAGCGACCTCTACAGGAAAGTGGCTGATCTGCAGTTCATCTTCCTTAAAAGGCTTCCTAGCCTCAGAAATAACCACAAAAGCTCACAAATTAGATAAAGATGCAACAATACAATTAAGAAGAACCTTAGGCAAGAAATTAAAAAGTCAAGCATGAAATCTGACCTCATTAATATTCATTTACTTAAGAAAGAAATTCAGAGGCAGTAACTAGTAGGTCACTGATGAGTGGTCAATATCCCCATAACTCCTGGGGCTTGAGGTCTTCCCTGGTGATCAGAAAGCCCAAGGAAAAGCATTTTTCCTCGGCATCCTAATTGGTTTAAAAGAATCATCTCTCCATACCCCTATGTGTAAACCGTCTTCATCAATTTGAATGACACCACAAAAATATTCAACTTTGTTTTCCTACAGCAGAAAAGTCATCCAAAACTCTTACCAAAAGCTCTTCCAATGTAAGTATTATGTATTTCCTTGCTCCCTACAGCCAAGAAAGAAATATATCTCCTGAGTTTCTGAAGACTATTGAGTTATATAGACATCATATCTGCATATTTCAGCATCTTTCAAGAAGTTGGGTTTTATTTGTGATTGCCTATCTCTCTTACCCACACGCTCCTCTTCCAGAACCAATACTGTCTTCACTAAACTATTTAAGACTTAATCATATCCTATCTCATGAAATTCTTTTACTTTTCGCATTTTCACTATTTTAAATCCCTTGAGGAATAAACCAAGACTACTGCATATTTCTTATTCCCCCACAGCATGTAAGGGAAGGCTGGACATCTAGCAAATATTGTCAATATATAAAATAATTAATGAATTATCCAGCTCCATATTTTTTTTTTTTTTTTTGGTTTTTCTCCGGTACCAGGAACCAAACTCACGACCTTGCACTTGCCAGGCAGGCGCATTTGCCGCTGAGCTAAATCCCCAGCCCCAGCTCCATATTTTAGACCTAAAAGCTGTTCTTAGACAATGTCCCTTCCTCTACCATTCTATGTTCTTAGAAAACCATCAGTGTTAAAAATGCTCATTGCATTGAAGTAGTTCCCATGCCTTTTTTTTCTTTCAATCAAGTTGGCTGGTAAGAAAATGTAAACTATTCATGTTTACTAAGGGATAGGGAAAGTATTACCAGAAAAAGAAAAAAAAAAAACCTTTCTCTTTTATTCTTGGATTTATTCCTTCAATAAACATGTACCCAATGTGCCAAGGAATGTGCATAGCCATGTTCTCTGTATTCAAGGAACCCAATGAGGAGTTAGAGAAGAAACAGGTGATTATAACGCACTAAAAACACCCCCGTGTGTTGAGGATTGCCTGGACGGCACATGCACAGTTACTTTGGCTGCGGTGCTGCTGCAGAGCCTGGTTACTCTGCCTTCCTGGGAACTCCACAGGACACTTCTTCCCATGGGTATAAGTATCCGCCCTGGAATGCCTCGGAAAAGACTTCATGGGGAAGCTAGCATGAAGCTGAGGCTCCCACGCTCTACCCAGGAGGGAGAAGCATTTGAGGAACAGCACAACACCTGCAACTGGACGTTGTCTCAGGAAACTGCCAACCAGTGTAGCAGTGGTGGCCACTGTGAAGGCTGAAGGAAAGGTGTTTCGATGCCAGGTTGTAAAAGGCCCTCTGAGCCATGCTAAGAAGTTAAAAATTTTATCCTACAGCAAGCTGCTGTTTACTGTAAAAGGGAGCCCCTGAAGGACTACAGGTAGAAGAGGGAATCGATGGGATTTTTCACTTGACAACAAGGAAACGGTAGAGGAGATGGATTTGGAGGAGTCCAGAGGGGAAGAGGAAGGTCACTTGGGAAGGTAAGACAAGGCCCTGAATGAACGTAATGAGTTGGGGGTGGATGCAAAGACAAAGGAGGCAAGAGACATCAAGCGTGAGTTACACGTTGACCAGCTGGACCCAAGGCACTTGCCGACCGAGTGCAAGTGAGCAGGTCACCTACAGCACCCACCAAGCTGCAGTCCAGTCATGGTGGACGCTCGTTCTTTTCCTCAACACTGATTCCTGCCTCAGAACTCTTACCTTAGCTGTGAGCTCTACCTAGAAAGCCTTTCCCCAGATGAATGGGTGGCTGCCTGCCCACTACCGAGCTGGGCCTCAGAGTCCCACTCAGTCCTCGCAGTCCTTCCCTGGCTTCCCTCCCTATTCTGTCGCACTGCAGGGCTTCTGCCCACCAACCTGCTCGGTCTACCTGTTTATCTTCTTCCCGCTCTAGATGTAAACTGCTCGAGAGCATGCGTTTCTACTCCCTCAGTCTCTGCGTCTCCCTAACCCCTGGAGCAGCCCGCAGTGCTCAATGAATAAATAAACAGAAGGAGATGCCGGTGAATGTATGCAGAATGGCGATGCACAGGAAGCTAGAGGAACTGAGAGAGAAAAAAGCATGGACTAATATGACTTTATAGTCAGCCACAAAGCAGAAGTAAAGGCAGTGGCTACAGGGCAAAGCTGCAGGAAATTAATCCTATGTTCAGGCTGCAAGGAACATCTTTACTGGCGGACACTGAAGTGTATTCTGAAACCACATCATCAAAGAATAGTAGTGCAGGTTAAAATAAAGTTTCTAGTTTCAAAGAGGAGAGAAAAAAAGGTCTTGAAAAAATCACCTCAATGAATATAAGGAAAACATAGGGAAAGAAGACTGACAAAGATTGGAGTTCGACATCTGCTTAGGTCATTTCTGCAGGTAAACAAAAACTGATCCCATGAAATGCCCCTCTTTATAGGAGTTTTTTAAATTCTAAAATGTATTATGTACTTTGCGGGCTTTTAAAGTAATTATAATAAGCCCGGTCTTCAGATTTCTTTACTCGATGATGGGCTCAATTATGGACATCAGTGACAGCCCTCAGGGTTGAGCAGCGTATCCATAGGGCCAACCAGCACCTGATCTCAATAAGCTGGAATCTCCATCTCACACTGAGGGGTAACAAAGTGATATTAGGATTTATGAATACAATGTACAACAATTAAATCAAGGGACACATCTATCGTCTCAAATACAAATTTTGTCATGGGAACATTTAAAATGTACTCTCTTACCAATTTTGAAGTATATAAACCCACTAGTTTAAACTATATTTATCATGCTGTACAAAAGACCTAAAAAAAAAAAAAAAAAATTAACAAAAAAAGGTCATTCCTCTGCCTGAGACCGACCATCAGTACCTCATTCTTCCCCCTCCCCGTCTCTGGAAGCGCCATTCTGCTCTTGGCTTTTATGAGTTCAATCGTTTTAGCTTCTGCAGATGACAGAACACGCATGAGAACATGCGTTACCTGTCTTAATATCATGTTCTCCAGTTCTATCCATGTTGTTGTAACTGACAAAAGCTCCTTCTTTTGGAGGCTGAATAGTAATCCACTGCGTAGATACACATCTTCTTTATCCACTCATCTGCTGATGGACATTTAGGTTGATCCCACGTGTCTACTGAGAATACTGCTGCAATGAACAAAGTGATCTCAAATCTCTGGGATACTCAAGAAGTGGGACTGATGGATCTTCATCTTCAACTCTGCATGCTGTATAGCACTGCTTACTCTGTAGATGTTTCCTGGCCTGATATTGCAAAATGCAGAAAACATGCCCAGCTAAAAAAGAGTTCAGTCATACACTTCATCTAGGTTGGAAATTCAAAGCCCAAAGACAGAGCTACTGCAAAGAAACTTCAGAGCAAGAAGTAGCCAGAAAGGTGAAAATCATGAATCCAATAAGAGAAACAGGTCAGTGTAGATTATAATGATAGGGAGAAATGGCTTACTTTTCCCTGTCTTTCAAAACCTCATGTCAGCCCAGCTGTACCTCTATCCAAAGGTTTTACTGTTCTCCATTTTACAGAAGAATGTTCCTCCTTCCTTCACGCTGGGTCCTCAACTGCACTGGGTAACAACGTGCAGACAACTCAACCCTTAAATTTCTAATCCTTATCACATAAGACTCATCACTACATTAAAACATAGATTTCTTACATACCCACCATACAAATGACTTCTACATGCATACCATGCACATTTACACATTTATTTAGGTGATGCAGAAAATGTTTGGGGGTTTGT